CGGGATGTATAAATCCATATTAGTTTGTTTATTAGATGTATCACACAGTAAGTGAAACAGTATTATTTACTGGATGACGTTTCGAACAAAATTTATTGTTCATAATCATCCCATCAATTTATAATCACACGACTTCGAAACTTGAGTTTTATAGTTTTCTTTGTCTTCTCCTATTTGTCGTCGTTGGGGTAGTAGAATTTTCCAGATATCCGGGACAGGTGATGAATCATTCCTATTACACGTGTTTGCAGTTGATTCGATAAACAAAGCTTCTGTTTTCAATCTCTCCCTCCACCCTGTGACATTAGATTTTACAACTGTCATCCTATCCTATGCATCCTATTGTATGGTTGTGTGTAACTGCATGTGGTGCTATAGCTGAACTATTCTCTGAATTTCTAAAATATGTGTAAAACTTGGGCACAGCATAGCTGGCATGACTGGTCATCTTGCTGCTGTTACATGCTTATTCCCCAGCAGTACGACATTGCCCACAGATTCCCAAGCATAATGTAAAAAAATGTTACACTATGCCGGTACTGCTTTTAGTCTAATCGCTATCCTAACAACCTTCCCGGCATGGTAGGACCTGCAGGAACATTGGTTCCAGTAAGTATAGCTTGTCCGGTCATTGCGATATGCAAGCCCGATCACCACCACGTCAAGGCAGCAGTTATCGGCCGGGCATTGTATCGACTCAGTGAATTAAAGAAAAGACTAAGGGATTCAATAACTAGCGACCAAAATCACATTTTCCGAATATGACGTAATAGTCGTTGTGACCTTACGGGAAAATCATAGTTACAGATCAGTCTGTCTATGGTAGATTCTGTAGGTAAGTCAGGATGTTTGAATGATGTCACAAACTTTTTCTGAGTCAGCACTTTTTAGAAAGATGCTCCAAATAACCTTCTCAGTGTGGTCTAAGAACTTGCTTCAACACATAAATATAGCAATCCGAATTGCCACTCTCCATTTAACACACAAAAGAGATTCAGAGGAATGATAACAAGCAGAAAAGAAAAAAGGATCGCAGAAAGTGCACGCATTTACGCGCCATTCAGAACGATTTTGAGCTTTATCACCAACTGTCTCCAGCAATTGGTTCTGAGATTCCGAAGGACCCCAACCAAACAGCCTACGTGTCTGACTCATCAAACCGACTGTCAAGAATTTCATGGACTGATCTTTTCCAACCTATTTCCATGTCAGCTACATTAATTGTTGAGGAAGGCGATGGCTAGACATGAGTAATGCATGTCATTTCAGTGACTGACTTTCCTTACCAAAAGCTCGACGCGTAACATAAGTATTACTCACCCTATTATACCACCTAACAAGGGAGACAGAAAGCAGACATCTATGATCAAAGACAGCATGCCATCCACCGTAGGCTGGCAAGCGCCTCACGAGCAGTTTGCGTTCGTGCTAAGATTTCGTCAGAAATCAGTCTCTTCGGGCTGATGCAGCTTCCGAAAAAAGTGAAAGAGTCAATATGTTCTACGACTTCACTCCCAGGGTTACTTCCATTAATACAGTGGGCATCCCTGACAGACACTGTTGGCTGTCATCACTTCATAGTATGACTCCATGCTAGTTTGTTTATCTGATGTAACATAGTAAGCATGAATTATTGCTCGCAATGACTTTCAAATTCATTTTATAGTTCTGAAGTGCCGTACTACTTCCTTCTCACTAGCAGAAAGACGGGCTAAATAACTGAAATAGGCGTCGACTCATTTCTATAACGTGTACTCACTCAGTACTGATTCTATAAGCAATAGTTAGTGCCTCTTTTACCTTAACTATAACAAATTTTTAAACTCCTGCCCCATGTTACCCAGCACTGTAATTTCGTCTCATTGAGCGCATTGCAGTGACTGAGTGTTTTCCCTGGGTAGTGCATTCTACTATGCGGTGTTCGCATATTCCGAATGATCACGGCCATTGGCTTTAACCAGCACATAACATTTAATTGTGTTTTGCGTTATACTGACTAGAGGATTTTTCTTTCAGCTCACATAGTTCCTTTCTGAGAAGGTTTCTTCATTCCACATATGTTTAAACCCCTAAATGACACCTCTTCTCAATTTATTCTACTAATGTAGATAACAATTATCAAACAATAAAGAACATTCTGCTGATCTCTCCTGGTCGTCTCATATCTTGACGATTTCTAAGAAAGTATTCCGTCTTACCTTCTACATCAAGAAGTTAAGACATTCTGGTATAACCCAACCCTTACTCCTACAATTCGTTAACTCTCGCATTCTGCCTATTATTCTCTATTGTTCCCCGGGCTTAGTTTTTCCAGGGCTACTGAAGAAAGACTGTAACATCATATTACGCAGGATGTTAAAGGTTGTCAGCAGGGTAAGCAACGTACCACTTAACCAGCTTCTTAATATTCTGGTTGACAGGCAGGCACATGGACTCATGTGAAAAATGGGCCAAATCCATTTTATCTAACTCACACCACCCTCTTCACTCACAACTCTCCCCTTGCATCTCATCAGGCAAAACCAGAAGTCTATATAGAAAACCATATGCTCGCACCAGCAAGTACAAAAACTCAACCATCTCCTACTTAGCTCTTGTTCTGTGCGATAAAGAAAGCATTAGGTGTGATACCTATAATTCATTAAATAGTCAGTAGAACAACTGGATCTCGTCTTTCGAACTCATATCATCTATAGGTGCAACATTTTCTTTCTTTCTCTTCCTATGTTGTTGTCATAATGAACTGAGACTATTCTTAATCTATGTAGAATTTTATTTATTGTTAATATACAAACTGGATGCACTACTGTAGTAAAAATGCTGAGAATTCCATTCTGTATCACAAGTACTGTTTTGGAATAAAGCAAATTATTATTATTATTGATCAAGCTCTTACTTTGCCTTGCCAGCTGTTCTTCATCTGACGTAGTATACATCTGATTGAGTCGGCGGAGGATAAAATACACGTACCATGATTGATGTCATTTCACCGTACCTTAGCACACTGGAAAATATTAGAGCAATCGAATCAGGACCATGTCTCGTAATAATAAATATCCTAGTTAATAATTCAAACATTTTTGTTTTATTCCCTGACGTTTCGAGTGCAGCATAGGGTGGCTTCAAGCTAGAGCTTTGAAGTTCCGGTAGTAGTGGTTTTATTGTTACGGATGGGAGTTGCTAAACTGACGCCCAACCTTCCCTTTTTACTGGCTTAGCGAGGTTCAGAAGTACGTCAGCCGAGGATTGAACCCCGGACCACGTGAAGCGTGGTTGGCGAGTGTTCGACCGTCCAATCACCGATACGACATGGGTATTACTGTCCAATAATTATTTCCCTAAGTATATCAGAATTATTGAGAAACAAACAATATAAACAGCGGTTAAAATAATGCAGATGTCAAAGCCTCTGCAGAATTTTGGAAAAGATGGTATTTTCGTTTACTCAAGAAAAAATTCGTTAGTGGGGGGGGGTCCTCTAACTGAAGTCAATTCATGATCAACATTGAAATCAATCGAGTCTCCGCAAATCAGCAATCCACCATCTAGCGCTCACTAGTGACTGACTATATATAAGATGAAATGCCTGAAGTTTCAGTGTGAAGTTGTGATCAGCAGGGCTCAATAAGTTGGGCCTGAAGACTGTTACACACTGATAACATTACGCTGGTGCTAGTCCTCGAAATGATAGGCCATTTGATTCCATCCCAGTAGCTGGACGGTATACGAGCTCGCCTCTTAACCTGAAGAGCCTGAGTCCGATACCTATCGGTGTGACTTCAGACGTGAGTACTACTGAAGACTTACAAACATGGACGAAGCCACTGTTTTCAGATGTTCTCTGACTCAAATCTGTTTGTAATCAAGACTGAAAATGAAATATAATTCAGTAAAACAAATAATAACTAGCCAGGGAGTGTTACACCTGTAGACCATGCATTTCTTCTTTTGCTTTGTGAACTACATGGAATGTGGCGTCTTGAACTGCTGCACATCGATGCAAAGTTCTATGTCGAAAACAGACAGACAGACACCTGTAGACATAACGGTTGCTAGGATACTGAAGAAAGCAAAAGAGGCGGTTAGAAGTACTAGTTGTAGTACTACTTCTCATCACTCACATGTTAATCAATACTTTCACTTTATACAACATTCTTGAAACATATCTAGTGTAGAAAAAGTAGGTTTCAAAAAAATGCTGCTGCTGGATTCAACATAGAACTTGGCACCGAAGTGCAGCAGTTCGAGTTGCCACGTTCCAAATAGCACACAAAGGTAGACAAGAAAATGAGTGAAGAGAGTCAATAGATTTAGACAAGTATAAGAGTGAAACAGAATGAGTAATGGTAGAAAGGAATATGAAAGGTTAAGAGACTGAATACATCTGCGCCATTGACAACGATTTGAGCCATGTACCCGACCGAAAGCTGCTACCTTGACGTGGTGGTCGGGCTTGAACACCGCAGTGACCCAACAAGCTATACTGGCTGGAACTTATGTTCCTGCAGGTCCTACCATGCCAGAAAGGTTGTTTGGATAGCGGTTAGACTAAAAGCAGTTACCCAACCCAATGCTATGACTCAAAGTAAATCACAAAATATCATGCCGGATCGGTCGGGGCCCGGATTAACAACGACCGCGCTTTCTGCTGCCGTGTCACAGGGCAGAAGTGATAAATACGCTACTGAGACACACCAAATGAAAAAGAACAAACAAAAACAGGCCGTGTGTGACCGGCCTCAAGCAGTTGTCCACTGGGCTCTGCGGTCACGCAACCAACTTCCATGGTGTGGGCAGCCGGGAAGTAACAATCGCCCTCACAATCCGAAGTGCACGCGAAACCTCTCTAATCCTCACTCACCTTTGTCTTCATCTTCATCTCTATTATCTTACCTTCCTTCTACTAATGCAACTCCTCTACTTAATGGCTCTTCACTTCCTCTTCACTCTGTGTTCACTGAAAACGACGGAAGCCAAAAAACCACCTAAAAAAATATAAATCCCACAATGAAATTAATTTATTCCCTTTCAGTAATACAAAAAAAATACATAAATAAATAAATAACCAAACAGCTAGTAGTTCAAATTAGTCAAAAATAACTTTCCATTGCCAATACAAAAGAAATAAGAAGAACAAAGCAAATGAATATATTGAAAACAACAATGGAAACAGATCTGGATATGCTTGAGGCGGTGTAATAAACATATCACCAAAGATTAAAATACTATAACCAAGAAGAATACCGAAATAAGCGAATAGTGAAGACATTTTTACTACTACTACTACTATCAGAACTACTGGTTTTTTGCAATGTTTTATCCGTATTATGCTTCCCATGATTATTATTATTATCACTACTACTGTTATTATTTCTAAACACAATGAAACATCCAAGAATAGAATAAATACAAAACAGTGATAAACTAGCCAGTCTTAATTGATCTTTTTTCAATAATGGCCACATACTTAATACAGAGCATAAAGTAAATAGAAAAGATGATATTGGATAGATTGGAAGTAAGCATAGCACTGGAATAGAAACAAGTAGAATAGATTTTTCATGAACTTGAAATGAAAATAAATAAAAGCCTAATGAACATATCACTAAAGAGGTTAAAAACTTTTTCTGTTGATTTGATTTCTTTAATAAAATTAAACAGCATGGTGGAAGACATGTGATTGATACAAGTAAAATACTAATTAAGACAAGTTCATAAGACGGAGAAGATGATGATGACAATGAGGAGGGAGGGAACAGTGAACGCCATTTCACTAATGGTGATGTAGCACACCAAAAGTTTGACACTTTATCCTCATAAATACCACGATCCAGCGGAAATAAACGTTTCACTACTTGATATACAGTGCCCTTTGCATTATTTGTTAACAGAAATGGTGTAAACACGAATGATATAGTCAAGAGGACAGTTAGCCCTAACTTGATGAAGTGTATTATACTATCACGTAATGTGCTTTTATGTAGACAAACGCTTAGCAGGTAGAAAAATATTGGCAAGGAATGATACAATTCCATTTGTTTATAACACAAAGCTAAACAAAATAATATCGAAGCAAATATATCCCAGTGTAAAAGTAAACAGTTTACACTAGCCAAATATAAACCAAGACTGATACAATTATACTGAAAATGTCCATGATCTATTAGGATAATACCAGGATAAGTTAGCATTAAACATGCAGCGTAAAACCCACTGATTTGTTTCAGTCTATTGACATCAGTGTTTACAAGTCTAGGCAACACAGAATAGAAATACACGATTACAAATGGTATAAAAATCAACAAGTCAGCAATGAATACAGTATATCGCATAAAAAGTTTATGCTCTTTAGATTCATATCCTCTTGATGTATACAGTTGAACCCATTCACTGTTTATTAGACTGGCCAGTTTACCCATAAACCAACTATGATAGGCAGTAAGAGGCGGATAATCCAGACCCCAATAGTTCAAGTCATTCTCCGTTGTATTTGTATACCATTCAGTAGGAGGTAAGTTAAAAGTGATTTCCATCCAATGACGTTGTGCTTCATAATCACCATACATAGGCGGTTTACCTTCCCCGGAATATGAATGTAGGCTAATCGCAGAACGTACACTAAGTCCAATGAATATAGGTAGACAGATTTTAATAATGTCATCAGCATTCATGGTTGGTTTCAGCACTGAAAAGACAAACAAACAACAAGACAATACGAATTGTTTTGTAACGAATTAATAAATAACACAATGTGCTATTGACCAGTAAAAAAAAGCAACTCTACTAACGATCCTTATAACCCAACAGTAGTTTAACAACTACTTGACTGATTTCAACATAGAACTTTGCGCAGAAGTGCAGCAGTTTGAATTGCCACACTACATATAACACACAAAGGAAGACAAACAAGAAACACAGACACTCAAGAGGATGATAATAAACAGAAATGTGAAGGAGAAAGAATAGTAACATGGAAACAGTAGGATTTTTCGGATCAGATACATCACAAAGAGTGAATGCATCTGCGCTATCACTGAGAAAGACTTCGAGCCGTATCACCAACTGTCTCCAGTCATATCCCGAGGAACCCAACTAGCCAGCTATTCTTCACCTCCCTACGTGTCTCAAACTAACTGTTAAAGATCATATGAACTGATGTCACGTTGTTATTTTACCACTACTAGATCTTTTCTAACTTAATCCTATACCAGCTAACATTGACAGTCGAGGAAACCGATGGCTAGGCATGAGTAACGCATGTCCATCTCATCGATTGGTTTCCCCTTCTTACCAAACACACTCAACTTCTAAACTCAGTATAACCCACATTATTAATCACAACTGTCGTTTATTTACAACAAGATTACAAAATTCATTCACAAAATGATCAGAATATGTTGAGCACTTTGAAGTGAATGCGGAAAAACTACTCAGCAACTTCGAAATTCTAGAACACGAGTTAAACAAGCAAATCCATGTGTATTTCCGGCAGATTCTCACCAGGTTTTACAATTACATAATAAAATACCTGTCATAGACATCTGAAAAAATGTAGATCAATAGAATCAAACACAGTGAAGTAGAATGATGATGATAATAATAATAAATTGCGAAACTTGATTACATCTGATCTGTTTCAAATATATATAACTAGAATTTTATGCAATTGTGTGCGTCGGTGGTATAGCGGTTAGGACGCTCGCCAACCATGCACATGGTCCGGGGTTCGATCCCCGGCCGACGCACCCCTTTACCTCGCTGAGCCAGAAATAATGCTGGTGAAGAGGAAAGGTTGGGCATGAGGCTAGCAACCCCATCCTGTAAAATAAACACTGCTACAGAAACTTCAAGCCACTAGCTTGAAGCCCTATGTTCCACTGGGGAACGCGAAGGAAAAAAAATGCAATTGTAAAGCCTGATGAGAATTTAGCGAAAATACGTACTTACTTGCTTGAATCATGTTCTATAATCATCACCATAAGGAAAATTACATTAGTTTCGAAATTCGCTCAATCAGATCATAAGGTTAATGGTAATTTGAAAATGAATCAGTCTAACCCATATCATAGTCGCATAACCTGCATTCAGACAGGAAATTACTAGCAGTATCAGTGGATATGTAACAGCAAGACTATACTTAGCAACTCAACACAAGTAAATTTTCTGGAGTTATTTTTACGAGTTGATCACGGATTGATATCAGTTAGAGAACCATTGAAAACTAGGGAGTACTGGACAGCTGCTGGTTTTCAATGGTTCTCTAACTGATATCAATCCGTGATCAACTCGTAAAAACATAACTAACTCTTACAAACCAAATTATAGGAGTTATTTTTGCCAGCTTATTGCAAAATGCATCAAAACCAGCATTTCACCAAAGACACAAGATCTTATATATGCTTCAAGTTTTCTTCAGCTGTCACAGACCTGTTTATTAGGAGACGACTACCACGAAAGATATCACTTCAAACAGTAGATCAGTGAATCAACACCGGATGATGGACCCGAAGTTAAAATGACTATACAGGAAAACTTACAAATAACCACATATTCCCGGATAAACGGAGTACAACTTGTTGTGCACACACTGCATTGAAACCAATAACTGCATAGACTGAACACTGATTGACGTCTCGTTTCCTCTCCTTCAAGGAAGATTATAAACATGGGGTTCAGTCGCTTAAGGTCGTTTGCTAAGGCCACAGTATCATGCTTTCCTATCGAGCAGTCTACAATAGTAAATCGAAATGTCGCCCCAAATTTCACAGCCATCTGGTTCGACAACAGTATCGCATCAAAAATCCGCTAGTGATGTTTTTGATATCGATACAAAGCAAAGGAAAGTTAACTTATCTGAACGCCATATTTACGTCTTATTCTCCGGACAATGTAATCTTGGCCTCAGGTAAACCGGGGGAATATAGTTGAAATGGAAAGTGAAGATAGGATACGCTTTCGACCCTACTGTGATTTTAGTGATGATTTTACTACACCATTTAAATCAAGGAATTTAGGGATATTCAGACGTTCGAAATTCAGTCACGAGATGTAAGGTTCATTAATGAAGTACTTATTTATGTAGCGACCAACTGATGACATCGAGAGAGGTTGCTGACATAATGGATTAGGCCACGAAGTCGTACTTTCATAATTTGAAAGATCGTGTCCAAAGGCGTAACCTGAAGAAAGGAATTCAGGTAATACTGTTAAACGCCCGCTTCGTTTTATAGGTTAACGTTAAGACAACATCTAGTAATTACAACATTGTTTTTATTTCTAGGCAAATGGGAAAGATAGCAGGGGATATAACAGTGGCAGTTATGTAAGCAAACTTTTCTAAATGTAAATGCTGAGAATGTGATGAGCGCAATGTTTCATCAACTGATATTTTATTTTGCTTCTTTACAGGGTGCTACCAGTGGACCTAACTTTAAGGATTTGCATTGACATTGTACTACAATTTCAAAATATGATTTCCAAATTTAAGCTCAGAAAATTGTCACTATTTGTTCTGAAGTAAAGCTAGTCCGTACTGAAAATGAGCTGAAAGGGCTTAACTAAAGCTGATAAGCAAAACTAGTAGGTTCTGATCTACTCCTGAAACTGTCTAGAAAAAGAACATGGTATTGAATTAGTTTCAGTCATGCTGAAAACCAAAACTGAGTTCTAGACTGTGACATTAAGGAGTCTATTTAAGAAAAGATCCAGAATTTACTGACTGTAGAACGTTGGAATAATTTCAAAATTAGTGAGATTTAATTCAGCATTATGGTAAGCTTGGGAGGAGCAGAACCTGGACTAGAAGGGCTGCAATAAGGCTGATAAGCTACTTCTGAAAATGCGTAGAATAAGAACAAGGTGCTGAATTGGTGCCAGTCATGATGATAAACCAGCGCACAGTTCCACCTTAAGCAAATAATCCGTAACTGTTCTGCCACTGTTGGATCCAACAATGGCAGAACAGTTAAGGCGTTTAATTACTCAGGAATGTTACTATATTAGCATAGTATACGTGAATTGGCTCAATGATTGCAGATTTACCATAATTCTTAACTACCAACATAAAAACTGGGAAATGCAGGCTAAAAATAAACGTCATAGTAGCATCCAGTGACAAAAAACTGACCTACATACCCCAAAACAAGCAAAACGTTCAAAAAAACCTTTAAAATTCAATGGAAAACGAATTCACGGAAACATATAACCAGCAGACGCAGGAACCCATCATGACCTTGAAACTGACTATAGCGTCTTTCTTACATTCAAGTTGGCGCTGAGCATGCGTCAGCAAATCATTCCGGCGCGGTTTTGCGTATGCTCAATGAATTTTAACTAAAACATTCTGAATCAGTCTAATGAAATAACTGGAATATTGATAACCTGATTACTTATCAGTCAGGTGAGTGAAGGAAATAGGAATTAATTTGACTAAGTTACGGTAAACGACACCTAAGCAACTAAACCCTAAAATAATAATAATCACTTTATTCCACAACAATAACAACTTACAGCATGGAATTTTCAGCATTTCTTTTACATATTGCAATGGTTTAGTTCTGTTTATAATTATATAAATGTATAAAATTTTAAAAATATTGATAGTTAATAGGAAAAATAAAAAACCCCAACAAAATACACCATTTCTAGGTCATTTTTTTTATCGTTTTTACGAGCTAGTATAAACCAATTTGATTTCTTTGTGCTCGCCTCTTGATTGTGAGGTAGAGGTTCCTGATCTTTGGTAAACGTCTGTGTAGCTCGTCCCACCACTCGACTGTCGTAGCTTTGGTTGACTCCAACAGGAGTAGTGCTGGGATTAATTATATGGCGTCTGTAGTATGAATTGTGTTAAGACTGTTACTACTGTGAATGGAGTTGATCCTTTCACCAGTTAGTCTTTCGGTATCGTCGTCAATGGAAAAGAGATAATAATAATAGATATAATTAGTAAAGATATTCAGACTAACAGACAGAGAAAAAATAAGAAAACGTAACAACAGTCAGTCAACCGGTATACATACATATATATATATACCAGTAATAATAATGATAATAATAATAATAAGTGTAGTTAAAGCTGTCAGGAGAGTAAGACTGAAGGGAATGTGAAGAAGTAAAACGACCAGTTTAATTGTCTACCTTTGAATGGTATATGCGATTTTAATGGGATAGGCCATTTGGATACAGTCCTTGTGTCACTGCAAGGTTGTCCAGCCTTCGCTTAAAGGCGTCCACAGATGGTGCCATAGCTACATCTGCCGGTAAGGAATTCCAGGGACGGCAAACCCGCAGGGAAAAGAAGTGGGAGCGCACCCGGGTCCTTGCCCTCTGATGAGCTATCCTTCTGGGATTTCCACGAGGGAGCCTATACCTACTCAATGGCAGAACACCTTTGTTCGGGTGATTCTGATCATTTGTTATTTTGTAGGCAGTAATTAAATCCCCCCTCAGGCGACGGTAACTGAGTGTGAATAGGCCTAATTTCTTCAGCCTTTCGTCATATGGTTTATTTCGGAGACCAACCACTCCTTTTGTTGCCCGTCGTTGGGCTCTTTCCAAGAGGTTGGCGTCTCTTTTAAGCAGTGGGGGTGCAATGATATTATGCACTTCAAGATGCGGTCTGACGTATGTTTTATACAACCTTAGAAAGAGCTCAGGAGTGAGTGCACCTAATTGTCTATGTGTAAAGTGTATGACCGCATATGTCCTCGCTACATCCCCCGTGTAATTCACGCTTGTGTCCATTTTCTCCGTTAGAACTAGACCTAAGTCACGTTCCGACGTTGAGCAGGACAAGCTTTCATTGCACAGGGTGTAATTTGCATTCTGCAGTCTAC